ATCTTTTTTTTTTAAATGCATGTTATTGATCTTATTGTGATCGATTCATCCATGTATGTTTAATTAAAAAAAATTTTTACCTCATAATCAAAATGTCATAACTTGGTTATTTACTCACCCTCGTGTCGTTTTTAAGATATTTTGAAGACTGTTGGTAACCAAAATGAACAAATAATAAAATGGAAGCCAATGGGAACCAAAACTGTTTAGTTACCAACATTCTTCAAAATATCTTCTTTCATGCTCCAAAGAGGACAGAAAATCATACAGGTTTGGAAGGACATGAGTGTGAGTAAATGATGACAGAATTTTAATTTTTGGGTGAATTATCCCTTTAAACCCTGTCTCTTTCTTACAATTACTAACACAATTGCCTCCATCCAATCAACAACTATACCAAGTCCCCTTTTTTGATTTCACTTGGATGTACATCCTAGTATGGAAGAAAAGATCTGTTGCTACTTCCATTACATCACAACATTAAAAAATGCCCCATTTGCATGTGAAATGAGCAGTAGCACTTTATCTGCAAGCTGCAGGTTTGGGCTCATTTCTAATACAGTGTTACCATTTTAGCCACTTTGCAAAGTTGCATTAGATTGTTACAGGATCGCAATGTTTTTGACATCAGAAACACTAGAACGTTCAGTTGTTTTTTGCAGGATGATTTAACTTATTTTGAGGCAAGTTACAGTATGTTTTTCTAATGCAATAAATCAAATTTAGATTTCTCATAATATGATGCCTTTAAAGGTTTTGTGGTCCTTAAAAGACCTCTCTCGCTCACTTGTTCTCTATCTGTCTCTCTCTCAGGCAGCTTGCAGGCCTACTGTTACCACCAGAGATCTCCTGCACTGCTGCGTGTGCTGGCTCGCTCTCGGCCCTGCAACCGCAGCATCTCCAGCACGCTTCTGGCGTAGGTGTCCCGCAAGTTCACCCCTATCGCCGACATATCTGAGGCCGAGCTGCGCGTCAGTCGCTTCAGCGCCTCCCCGTGCCGCAGCGCCGCTTCCTTAATTTTAAGCGTGAAGTAGCAGGCGGAGAACCGATCGTTGATGATGGCGATAGGCCAATGGGAACCAAAACTGTTTAGTTACCAACATTCTTCAAAATATCTTCTTTCATGCTCCAAAGAGGACAGAAAATCATACAGGTTTGGAAGGACATGAGTGTGAGTAAATGATGACAGAATTGTAATTTTTGGGTGAATGATCCCTTTAAACCCTGTCTCTTTCTTACAATTACTAACACAATTGCCTCCATCCAATCAACAACTATACCAAGTCCCCTTTTTTGATTTCACTTGGATGTACATCCTAGTATGGAAGAAAAGATCTGTTGCTACTTCCATTACATCACAACATTAAGAAATGCCCCATTTGCATGTGAAATGAGCAGTAGCACTTTATCTGCAAGCTGCAGGTTTGGGCTCATTTCTACTACAGTGTTACCATTTTAGCCACTTTGCAAAGTTGCATTAGATTGTTACAGGATCGCAATGTTTTTGACATCAGAAACACTAGAACGTTCAGTTGTTTTTTGCAGGATGATTTAACTTATTTTGAGGCAAGTTACAGTATGTTTTTCTAATGCAATAAATCAAATTTAGATTTCTCATAATATGATGCCTTTAAAGGTTTTGTGGTCCTTAAAAGACCTCTCTCGCTCACTTGTTCTCTATCTGTCTCTCTCTCAGGCAGCTTGCAGGCCTACTGTTACCACCAGAGATCTCCTGCACTGCTGCGTGTGCTGGCTCGCTCTCGCCCCTGCAACCGCAGCATCTCCAGCACGCTTCTGGCGTAGGTGTCCCGCAAGTTCACCCCTATCGCCGACATATCTGAGGCCGAGCTGCGCGTCAGTCGCTTCAGCGCCTCCCCGTGCCGCAGCGCCGCTTCCTTAATTTTAAGCGTGAAGTAGCAGGCGGAGAACCGATCGTTGATGATGGCGATAGGTAGCGAGAGAATTAGAATGCCAGATAGGATGCAGATGAAGGCCATCACCTTTCCTAGTGCTGTGTCCGGACGGATGTCTCCGTACCCTACTGTGGTCATGAGTCAGTCGCTTCAGCGCCTCCCCGTGCCGCAGCGCCGCTTCCTTCATTTTAAGCGTGAAGTAGCAGGCGGAGAACCGATCGTTGATGATGGCGATAGGTAGCGAGAGAATTAGAATGCCAGATAGGATGCAGATGAAGGCCATCACCTTTCCTAGTGCCGTGTCCGGACGGATGTCTCCGTACCCTACTGTGGTCATGGACGTGGTGGCCCACCACCAAGCGCTGGGTACATTGGTGAAGGTGGTCTCTGGCATGTCATGTTCAATGGCGTATTCCACTGTGGCGAAGATAGAGATGCCCACAGAAAGGAACAGCATCAGTAGGCCAACTTCCTCGTAGCATTGGGCGATCGTCATGCCCAAAGACTTGAGACCTGGAACACACAAAGAAGAGATAATGTTCCTTAATCTAAAGGCCTATTCACACCAGCACAAATGTTTGTCAAAACTTCAAATCAAAGTCAAACAGTATTTACATGTTTTCAAACAGCCGTTCAGAAAAAAAATTCACATTTATGGCATGTGAATATTGGTGTCGTTCTGAACAGACGCACTGGGATAATTCACCCAAAAACGAAAATTCTTACTTACTTCTGATGAACACAAAAGGAGATATTTTAAAGAATGCTGATAACCAAATAGTTTTGTTCCCATTTGCGTCCATTTAATTTTTTTGTCCATACTGTGGAAGTCAATGGGAAACAAAACTGTTTAGTTACCAACATTCTTTAAAATATCTTCTTTTGTGTTTCACAGAAGAAAGTAAGTCATGAAGGTGTGCACAGACCTTGAGACTAATATTACTTTTTAAATTTTAGGGTTGTCAATCAATTACATAATATTCAGATTAAATACTAAAATGAATAGGATCAAATTAATTGAATAGACATTGTAAAAAGTGAATTTAAAACTCAAAGTGTTTTTTTATTTCTATGTCAGGAGCATGATTTGGTTTTAATACTTTTTATTAAAAAAAATACTTTTTATTCTTTTTTTATGATTAAATTCACTAAATAGATGTGTTAAACTAACAGCCCTAATTTTAACATTATCACTGCATGCCAAGAGGATAGAGACTACTACAAGTAATCAACCTAATTACTTAATTACTGTTAACCTTCAAACAATAGCATGAAAAAGGAGAGGCTTCTCAAATAATTAGGGAAGGAAAAACATTAGGGCACTGTCAGATAATTTGTGTAAATTGTGTCAACGTTCCCCAACGCACTGAACTCTATGTAACAAAGAATCAAGCTACAGCAAGTGTTATATGCTGCGTCCTAATTTGCCTACTTATACTACGCCCTTAAAGGGATAGTTCACCTTCAATTGCTGGTCCACATTGACTTCCATAGTATGGAGAAAAAAAACACTATGTAAGTCAATGGGAACCAGCAACTGAAGGTGAACTATCCCTTTAAAGTATGTACTGTTTTGGTCAAGAAAAATTTATACACTTTTGAGTGTGTAGTAGAAGAGAGGCAAGCTTTGGGAAATA